GAGAGGAAATTTTCCAAAAGACGGAGGGATCCGATACATTTATAAGATCCACCGCCAGCAATTTTCACTCTGGCCACAAGGCCTAAACCCCGAGTATGGTTGCTCCCTGACGTTTGTCCCATGTTCATGCATGCACCTCGTGCAGAGAGCAACGTTCTATTGACGTGCGATGACCGTAAAAATGGCAACGACCACGACCTTAGACAAACGGCCTGCCACAGCGGTTGCTTGGCATGTGCTACTGTATTCGGGGAGAAGGAGGCTTCAAAGATTAGCGACAACCGCGAAGTTGTATTTATTTTGCATTTACCCAGTAAAGACACAGTGTACCGAATAATAATCTCAGAGAAGTCACTAGCCAAGTCTCTGAAACCTCTTGCCAATCAAAACTCTTGCTAGCCCAATCCCTGGTAACTCTTCTCAACTCAGTCCCTGGTAACCTTGTCCATTTTCTAGAACATCCCATGACGTCGCTTGAGGAGCCGTTCTTTCCAGCCCAGCTGGTACAGGAAAGATATCGCCGAAACCGGACGAAACATTTGCGTGAATGCAGCGTGACCGAGGGCCCTGTCCTAGCCGAGCTGGATTCAGCGCTAGCATCAGGTCAGAACACTCCCAGGTATGTTTATGCGGACGCCAATCTCCACCAGTCCAGCACTAATCTAAGGAAAAGAGGCCGGGGGAGCGTTCCAGATGAACACGGGTTCTATTCGGCATCCACTTCGCCCACCAATGAAACGCCTTCTATTCCTCCCCGTCCTGGCCTGCCAGAGAAAGCCGGCTCACCGAAACGTTCATACACACAGTCCGCACTCAACACCACGTATCTCATCGGAAGCTACTTTCCAGAGATCTTTGCCATTCGGCTAAATCCGCTAGATAAAGTACGGGACTTGAAGCACGTCTACCGGGATGTCTTTTCCACAGGGAGCGAGCTTTCAGTGAGCGAAGAGCACCCCTATGACGAGCAACTAGACCAAATATTGGCCAATTTGGATGCTTCGGCCAAGAAGCTCCTTTTGGAAAAGCTCCTCAAAGAAAGAGAGCCTCAGACACCGCTAGACGCAGAATATAACGGGGGTCCCATCCAGCTGCACTCTCTTGGCGTCCAGTACCCTGACAACATCGAGCTCCTTCCACCTATAAAAAGGATTGAAATTTTGATCATTAAGCTGATCCAGTTGGGATTTGTTCTTCTCCACGTGTTCATTCCCATCTTGCACAAGATGTACCTCAAGTTTGTCAATAATCAGTTTTTTATCATGAACTTGAAGAACCTCAATCGGTTGTTGAATTGGGCCATTGCCTGGCTCTTATACGTGGACGAAGCTTTCTTGACTAAGAACCAGGAAAATACGGCTGCTGAGTTTGCCTCTCCCGAGCCAGAAGCCCATGACGATGCCAGCGTCGTGGTTTACTCCCCCCAGGAGCTCGAAAAGCTAGATGAGTTCAACCGGTTGATAAGCAAGAACTTGTCCGACTTGGAAGAAAGGGACCGAAAGTCGCAGCTGCCCACGAAATCTGCCGCCAGTGCCATTACACAGTCGCTCAGACTGAAAGCCATGAGCTATGTGTCTGATAAAATCGTGGAATCCATATTATATCCTCCTGAAAGACCCTCATCGAGCTCAAGACCTAGGAGCGTGGCCAACAACCCACAAATGTACGCTGCCACAAGTTCCGCAGGCTCCTCTCGGCCTTCGTCACGAGCCTTTGACTCTTCAAATTCAGGGTCCGACTCCACTTCGCCTAATAAGTTCAAAGATGATCCGTCGTTTGGAAATGTGGTTGAGAATTTTGTTCGCAGTATGCAATAGGCATGGATATTGCGAGGGATAGATTTTAGAGCCAGGGGGGACTGCGTAACGCATATGTATAAATGGATTGGATGTGGATAGGGGGTATTAGATAGAATAAAAAGGGCACACAGCACACGGAGTCTGACAGGAGACAGTACGGCGAATGCTCTCAGTTACCCAGGTAAATGGTACCGATGGTTTACGTCAGCCCTATGGCCGAAACCAAGCTATCCTTCAATCACCTTTCCAGTCTACAGAATGTACTTTAAAGAGATTAGTACCAGTATGGTGAACCTACCCTAACTTTTGCCTCGAAGTCTTAGTGTTATAGTCATACCTGCCGGGCGTAAGTTTGCGCGTCCCTTTGGCCTAATATTAAATAAATTCTATAATCTGCGACCTTTCTGCCCTACTCCTTATTAATTTTACGCTATTCAAACGCCTTTGGGTCAAGGATCAACTTCGCTCGTGCTATGTCCTCACTTGTTACGCCCTCGCTATAATTATAGCGTTACCGATATGTAATTATAGTGTCTAAGCATAGCATTATTCGTGCTATGTACTCGCTACTTAAAAAGCTTCTTAAACCGCGACCGCTTCTTATCCTCTTTTTCTTCTTTCCCCAGCTGCGGTGACGGGGTTGGAGAAAGTGATGTTGCCTTAAGTGACTGAACCCTCACCCTTGGCTCTGCCTTTGGCTCTGCCTTTGGATCTGCCCTTGGCTCCGCTCTCGGATCTGCCCTTGGTTTATCCCCTCGCTTGACTAAAAACTCCGGTGCTCTTGTATCCACTTCCTTATCCACCGGTAACTGCAAACGCTCGCGCGCCAGAGATAACTCGCGAAGCGCCTCCAAGTACATTAACGGCGAAAGCACTTCGTTGCTGCCCAAGTATATCTCCTTGTCAAGCTTCGCAGATAAGTCATAGCACGAGCGCATCTCCGAAAAAGTTACCCCACCCGCCACAAAGTAGAATACACGCTGTTTCGGCGGCAGGTACTGCGAGCCCTTAGCCCACACAGCCTTGTGCTGACGTAACGTGGCGATACCTGGGGCGGCAACATCCTCGATGGGCTTGTCCCTGAAGTATGGAAACGTCTCCTCATCGAGCTGGTTGGCCAACGCCTGCGCAACAATGGTCTCGAGCGCGGGGCGGAAGCGCGACGAGTCGTACGGGTCAGTGTTTTCCATGTAGTGGAACATTTGTTTCTTGAAGCCCTTGCTCTTTACATCCGGCTTGATGACCTGGGCACCGAGGAGCTCGAGGTTTGCGAGGATCCGGAACAAACCCGCAAACTGCTCTGGCTTCCAGCACCCCGCAAACGTGAATAACTTTTCAAAGTCCGCATGCACCAAACCACCGCGGTACAACGCGTACACCGCGATCGTGCGAAACTTGTCGGTATGCGTGGGGCACGCATCAGCGAGGAGCGGTAACGCGTCGTCGATGATGCGCTTGAGCTTGTCACCCTCGCGCGACACGCCAAACGCGGCGCAGTCCTGCTCAACAATCGCAAGCTCCGCCAACCGTCTCGCATTATTGATCTCTCCACAGTCCTGGATCAACTTGCTGTGAAGGTAGATTTCGCGCTCTTCCGCGAACACGCGGTCCTTCTGGAGAAATTGCTGCGCCACCTCAGAAATGCGGACCTTATCGGCGTCGCGCTTCTCGTAGAAGTTGGGGTTTTCGCGGAGAAAGCGTGCCATGTTGGCCTTGATCTTTGCGCCACTGTCGAGCAAGTGGAGGTGGCGCAACTGGCGCCATTGTGCGTCGGAGTCGGTCAACACATACTTCTTCTTCTTGCCGACCGAGTCGGTGTACGTGTAGGTCTCATCCACTAACGGTACCACATCGTGGACCATGGCCTGGTACGTGAATTCATGGAGGAGCGGCGCAAAGTAGTCGACGGACCGGTCAACAATGATGAGCTGTGCCCGCGCCCGCGCAGACTCGGGCGGGAAGTCGGGCGTCGCACGTGCGTAGGTGTCGATCGCATCCTGGAATGCGCGTGCGATGAGCTGGCACAACACCGCAGACTTGTGCGTAGCGCCCGCGGGCGCGTAGTGGCGCACGAGCGGATACTCACCCGTCACCACGCACAAGTTTACCAACGCTTCCACCGACCTGGAAACGTACTGGCTCACAAGCCCCACACAGTTCTCGTTGTGAAACACCTGGAGCGCTTTCGTGGTGTCGGGGACCGTGAAGATCTGCGCCTCGTATGCGCGGAGCGTCCAGTGGAGCGTACCGACGCCATGGAGATAGCTTTGCGCACGCTCCTGGTTATGGATCTTGCTCTGCAATGCGTCTGACACGCCTGGGAGCAAGAACACGTGGCCGCATTTGTAGCGCAGCGGCTGGTACTTGTAGTCTGTGACCAAGCAATTGACCGAGAGCTCGTTTGGATCGAGAATGTATATCGCTTCATACGTAAGATTGAGCGCGCGGGGCTGGTCCACGCGTTCGACCGCAAACACGTGTTCGCGTAACTCGTTGGTGGAGAGAAGCGCCGAGACGAGACCCTCGGTTTTGGCATCTAGTACGAGGTAGCATTTGTAGCCATTGGCTGAACGCACAGAAGTGATCGCCAGAAGAAGGTCTGTGGGTTAGTAGGGGTCGAAAAGCAGGAGAGGTATGCGTACAGTTACGTTGTAGGTCAAAGAGCGACTCCATCGTTGGAGAATAGGAGGGAGTGATTTGTTTTGCGCCGCCTTGCGTTTAAATGGGGGACGTGGAGATCACGTGCGGAAGACATGGGGCAATGGGATACCCAAAGAATTTTTGAGGTGAAGAGATATTGTATCAGCCCATCAAGATTCGGCGTTAAATTTATAATTAGGTAATACCTTTGGTATACTATTTCATGGAAAGGGGTAGGGTTGGGGCGGTTGGGGGTCGCATCTGATTACAGCTGGCGAGCCAGGCGGGTGGAACGCGGGGAAACGAGGGTGCGGAGGAATTAAAGGACCGATACCAGTCGTATGATAGGGTAAATATCGGGATTACCTTGGAGTTTTTTCGATGCTTTTTTTATAATGGTTATTATAGCTCGTTTCCGGTATTAAAAAAGAGAGAAAGAGCTCAGTCTTTATATAGGAATCCTGTATGGGCTATTTAACGATGCCTGCCATGCGCCCTGTATTGTGGGGGTACCATACCAAAAGAAATAATTATTTAAGGAATGGTAAATTATGCATTATTTTGGAGAGCTAAGGGATATTATTTGGTTGCGCTCTCTCTTGCATGTACATGTAGGGTTGACTGAAGTGGGTGGTGATACGCTCTTTCTAGGCTTCCAAGTCTAAGTTCCGAATACAGTAAAAAGTGTAGACTTGAAAGGAAACATCAAGTTTCGCACAACCAAATACTGGCCATTAGGCTTTGGGTAATTGAAAATACACTAGGTTTCAATTTTTCAGCCGAGACGTTTGTCCATTCTCTCAACTCTTGTCTGTGCATATCTGAATGTATCGCGATGGTTTCGTCTACTAGAATTAACAAAGGAACTGCTTATGTATTTTGGGTGACATCAATATACATCGAGTGTAATATCTAAGAATATCTCGCCTCGATATCTTCATCTACTCGTAGACCCCTCTCTAAGCTGTACTCTGTACTTTGCCACTACGCTCCGTGCATGCGTGCCCCCCTGTCCATGCATATGCAATCAACCCTATGCTTCAAGTCGTTAGACAACAACCACAAAGAGGTTACCATGATATATAAAGCCCACCTGTTTTTACAGTTTTCTATTCCACAGCTTGGTTCTTTCTAACCTGTGCACCGCATTCTCTGTATTCTCAGTTTGCCAATCTCTTTGCTTCTCTATACTTCCCTTTACATATAAACCCAAACAATGAGCATAGCTATTTTCACCATGGACGAAGAGCACGTCGAGGCAGTAGACATCTTTGCCTCACCAATTTCGACTGTGGCTCCTCCAGCCTTGTTCTCCCGCACCACCCATCCGCTTCTGGTCCCTAGCGGGGTGGTCAGAAGCGGTCCTGTGCAGACCAACAACTTCTACGGTAACATGTTGTTGAGCGATCAAACACAGCCTACCTACACCCATCCTTACGTTGTGTGGTATTCTAACAGCGTAAACAATCTCGGACTTGCCCTCACATACTCGCCGGCCTCCAAAATGGTTTTTGGCCCTGACGCTTCGGTGAACCCTGTGGAGTATTTTTACATGCCCGCCGGAATTGGGTCGTTCGTGATGGGGGCGTCTGACTTTGACTCTTCAGTGGCGTTTGGAATGAAAAACATCTCAAAGTTTGGCTCCACCTTGACCTTTACTGCAACCGACGGCGGTTACATGATAGCCCCTGTGGTACAGGGAATGGGGTTTGTCACTACCGTGTACTACAACTTGATTCCACGCATCAACAGCATGGTGGGATTCACGTCCATAACAGGCGCTAGCGCTCCCAAAGCCGGTATCCAGAAATATCAGATTACGTTGAACGATGCATCCGTCTGGTGGATGTACGTTACGATTCCTCTGGGCCAGTCCCTTCAGTTTAGGCTCAACGGTGGTTCGCAGATCATCAGCTCTAACTCCGTTAGCGGCTGTGTTATCCAGCTCTGCACCGGTGTCAATGGTGCTTATGATGGTGCTGCCGGCTGTTATGCCACTGATGCCAGCATTAGTGCCACTGTGAGCGGTTCCACCGCTACCTATTCTCTTAACTATAGTGTTTCTGGGACATCCAACACCAACACAACAATGCTTTTTGCTCTTCCACACCATGTGGAGTCGTTTGTGAGCTCCATGGCAGCTTCCAAGACCAGTATCAGCCTCCAGACTCCCAGCAAAGGCATCGCCACGGGCTACTTGACCAATACCTTTACCATGACCGAACTGCTTCCTACCACAATCGGGTTTGCCCCGTGGACGAGTATCACGGCTAATCCTGCCGGCTATTCCACGGCTGCGCTTGCTGCCATCCAAGCCGCCGCGGCCAGCGAAGCGAATGACGATGTTGCAAGTTTGTCCAATGTCGACTCCATGTACGTGAGTGGCAAGATCTTGGACAAGTACGCCTATGTTCTCTGGGTGGTGATGTATCTTTTAGAGGACAGGACTACCGCTGCAATGCTTTTGGCAAAGATGAAGACCGCCATTGAGCGCTTCAGCAACAACACGCAGCAGACTCCGCTTGTTTATGACATTACCTGGGGCGGGATCCGCTCTGGGTCCAACGACTCTACGGCCGATTACGGTAACCCGTACTACAACGACCACCACTTCCATTATGGCTATCACATCCATGCTGCTGCCATCGTCGCCAAGGTTGACATGGACCTCGGTGGTACCTGGTTGATCCAGGTGAGTCCCTGGGTGCAGTCTTTAGTGCGAGATGTGGCAAATCCATCGTCCCTGGATACCTATTTCCCGGTCTTCCGCTCCTTTGACTTCTTCCACGGCCATAGCTGGGCCCACGGTTTATTCGCAGCCGCTGACGGGAAGGACCAAGAATCTTCCTCAGAGGATTACAACTTTTCGTATGCCATGAAGATATGGGCGACGGTGACTGGTGATACCAACATGGAGGCCAGGGCCAACTTGATGCTTGCGATCCAGAAGCGCGCAATGAACTTGTACTATTTGTTAGCGGACAGCAACACTGTCCAACCAGCCAACTTTATCCAAAACAAGGTTGCCGGGATTCTCTTTGAGAACAAGCTTGACCACACCACGTACTTTGGTACCAACTTGGAGTACATTCAGGGCATCCATATGTTGCCAATCACGCCGGTATCTTCTTTCATCCGAGGACCGACCTTTGTTCAGCAGGAATGGGACGAGAAGTTGGCGAGTATAGTGGGCGGGTTGACCTCCGGCTGGAGGGGTATTTTGATGTTGAATTCAGCATTGTTCGACCCGCAGTTGGGATTCCAGTTCTTTAACGGGAGTTCTTACAATAGTGAGTATCTCGATAACGGGATGTCTTTAACGTGGTCTTTGGTTTACACCGCGGGGGTCGGTGGATCTACGTAGAAGTTTACAGGGCTGTTTTTTTTTTTTGAGCAGTGGGGGGCTGGACTGGGATTTCTGGTCTGGCCCGTTGGTTACCAAGCTGTCTGGCTATGATTTTCCGGAGGAATGTTTTCCAAGGGAGACCCTTCGTGTTTTTGTTTGATTATTTTGTTTGCGTTTATATGTATGAGAAGATGTATTGAAATAAATAAAGGTGCCTTTATCGATATTAAATATGTATTGGCATGTTACCAAATCACAGTATGTTCTAGTGGTGTGGAGATATGGGACGTTTACTTTAGCAAGGAAGCAAATGGGAGATATATACCTATTAATGTCTCTCTAAAACTTCATTTTATGGGGCTGATCGCCACGCTTCAACGAGAAAGTCGTCGCCAAATACTGCTTTAAGAGTGGCACCTTCTTGATCTCGTGCCACAAGAGCGTATCTACCGCCCGCTGATCTCCAACCCGTTCGGTGCGGTTCCTGTCTATCACCGCCTGGTTCTGTTCCGCACCCTCGCGTATGGCGCGACTGAAGTACTCCACGTCAAACTTCCCTAGTGCGTCCACCCCCTGGAACACGATTCGCATCGAACTAACAATCACGTAGCGTGCACTGACGCGTCGTAACGGCACTCCGTTGATCATGAACGGTCCCGACACGAGAAGCGACCCGTCCAGCAACGTCTTAAGGTACACCACGCGCTTTCCCCGGAACTTCCCTGCGAGAATGATGAGCACCGTTCCCGGCACCAATGGTGCGCGGGGAACCCGGGATCCGGCCTTTGTTTTGTATTTCAGCCCAAGGCGGTACGTGTTTCGAGACCCTTCCTCCGGAATAGGGGTCATTTGTTTGCGCAGCACTGCTGTCATGGTGGCGTGGGTATGAAGGGAAACCTGGAAAAGGGGAATGCAATCTGGTAGGATAGTCTGTAAAGAAAAATGGTAAAATAGGTTTGCCTTTTGATGTAAATGATACGAAGTAACCAACAAATATAGCCAGGTTTTGAAGCTATAAGGAATTAAATGGGTCTCTGCGGGCTTCGAGACGCATATGCACAACACCAAGACCTGCACCAAGCGTCGACGGATACGCCCCTGTCACGTGTTCTGGGGAGGGTTATCACTGACTCATAGGCAGATTGGATATCGGAGGTTGTCCTAAATACGTGAGAGATAATTGTCGAGCCATGACTCACACCCACGAATAGTGAAATTCGACTAGGCCATTATTACACTTTATGGAGTCTAGACTAAAATTTGGGAGACGAATCAGGCTTGGGAAGAAAGGGGAGTTTTCCTTGGGAAAAAAATTCCCCTTTACCCCAGAAGTATAAAGGTTACTGCGTGAAAATTCGCCGATAAACCTTGAATAGGGCTCATTTTTGATTCCAAGCACATTGAACTGTAAGCGGAGTGGAATGACTATTGTCTTGGTATAGACCGTTGGAACTTCCGTGTAGAATACATCCTAGCTAGACATATCAAGCATACCTACCTCTAGATCTCAGTTTATATACCTTGGCTCAATCATTGTGTTAGAGGCAGAAACCTCAGACTTGACACTATGCCTTGAATGTCCTAGCCCGATGGTTACACATAGCAGATGTAGGTTCAATGCATGACGGACAGAGGAATACTCCCAATCAGCGAGAAAATAGAGCACTTTCCCGAGAAATTCATTATAGAATAGGGAGTGTTAATATCATACTCTTAAAGCAAAATATTAGAAGGCGTTTACCGTTTTCAAAGATTCATTGTATGTATCAACTCAATGACCAATCGCAAGAACGTGTTTGAGTCTGCGAAATATCACTGGGATGAGCCACCCTTGTAACTTTCATTTTGGACTCCAGGAGGTGAAGTTTAGTAGTGCGCTATTCTACATATTGAATCCCAGTATTTATCTTGTAAGCTAATACACGTAGCTCGTTAATTCTCGGTTCTAACCACAATCGCGAAATCATGCTTTACCCCCGCGTGATCCCAGACATTCCCCACCGGCAAATACTCCACAGACTCTATCTTTTCCATAAGGGTCGTCAACATGGCAACTCTTTCTGGCGCGCCGTAGATCTGGAAGTGGGACTGAGGCAAGCCCAAGACCTCGCCTATTTCTGACTCGTCACCAACGTTAAAGAACATCGTAGAAACCAGAACTGTGCCCGTTTTAACAGTGGTTTTATCGACAGTCAACGCCTCAAGCATGCTGCAAAGGGCATCCTCTTCAGATTCGTCATCGGAATCATAATACATGTCTCGCTGATTGGCCACTGGGTCAAAACTCAAGCCACCCCACTCCACCTCGGCGTTTCTTGGCAAATGACTGACCAGAACAATGACCAAAACGCCGGGGTTCCCCTGCGTGACATCTTGGTACTCGCTCCAGACACTTTTAACAACTCTGACGCTCAGCAGGTCGGTGATAAAGCACACAATGGCCAAGTCCTCGCGGCACTTCACGATAGCCTTGACGTTATTCAAGTGCTGTAGAGCCAAGATGGCGGACTCGGCTAGCGTTTCGGGTGTGGAACTGTCGTGCAAGGCCATGGAGGCGGGAATAAGCGGAATCTGCCCCGCGAGGCTCGCTATAGCGTTGCGCGTATCCACAATCGCCTGGGAATAGGGCCCGATGTTGCACGGAGCCCAGTAGCTTAAGCCCCGGACATGGACCCCAGCCTTGGCTGCCTTGGCCCCGGGAAATTTAACTACACAAGACAACTGGACGCCACAGCCGGGACGGAGATAGGTCTCGACACACATCCGGGCTGGAGGCAACACGTTGGGGAAGAAGGAGGAATAGACTGTGTTGATCTCCGAAAAATTCGCCATATCTGCTACGAGAAGTGACGTCGACTGAATGTCTGCAAAGTTCAAACCGTAACGAGAAAGAACCGTGGAGAGTTGACCGAAGATGTCTTTGATTTGGTTAGAAATCTTGGTGGAATCCACCTCGACCTGAGACTCCGCCTCTTCCCCCTGCAAATTCGAAATATACAACGAAGTTTCTGTCGAAAGAACCTTCGCTTCCATTTTCCAGTCATACCTCAACCCGCCCTCACTCTCAGTCTTCCCCACCTTCTTCTCAACAAGCTCGTATACATCCTGGAACGATTCACTCAACAACGGTGGGACAACCACATCCTTCCAATCTGGCATCACATACCCCTCCTTATCCACCATCCTGACTGCAAACTTTAAATAGCACACGTCGTCGCTGGAAACCTCCACCACATGCTGCTCAGTAATTTCCAACCGCTTTTTGAAAAACGGCGCGTCAAAGACCATCGTCTCAAATTCACCACCCTCGCCACACACATGCACATCGTATTTTGCGTTCAAGGCCTCCAAAACAGGGCCCATCTCCTGGATGGTCCTGCCCAAGTGGCGCGCAGAGAGACCAATGGCTGCGACCTTGATGATGCGCGCGTCTAAACCGCTTGCACACATCTCGCGCATCAACACCGTCTGGTCGCGCTGCCACAAGTACGCCAAACTGGTGAGCCCAAGCCGTGCGCACACATTTTCTACGCGTGTACGCTGGTACGTCGACAAGATCGCGCCCACGCTCACGCCGCGCACGTCCGGGTGCCGCGTGCGCACCGCGTGCAAGAGCACGTACAAGTCCTCGATCTCGTCATCCTGGGTGCTCTCATACTCAAGCTTCTGGTTTTTCGACGAGCCCGTGATCTCCTGGCGGTACATCGGCACCCCGATACACTCGGAATAGTAATCCACAATGTCGTGGCCCACTGTCTGGAACATGTGCGAATCGAGCTCGTCCACACCGCTCTGCGCGGGATGGAGGTTCGCAAGCGCCACAAGCTCATGGCCCTGCAGGAGGCAGTGGAGGATGTTGTAGCATGAGTCTTTTCCGCCCGAAAGGAGCGCTACAAACTTCATTTAGTGGTGGTTTAGAAGGAAACGAGGAATAGAGGGAAATGGAGACGGGGTGGGTTATAAAGAGTCCTGCATGGTGAAAAACTTAAAGCGGAAGCCGCTTCAGCCACGTTTTTCCCATTTTGAGATTGCGCCACTAGTTCTTTGCTCAGGTGTTTAAATTTGTGGCTGGTTCACAACTGGACAGGCCGTCCCCCCTCACTGTTTGGACAGATTGTACCATTGGAGAATCTCGGCGTGTTTCGGTGGCCAGCTTGGAGATGGTTTTGTTTTCTCGTCACTAGTATTTAAACTCATGATGTATCTGGTTTTGTTTGGACAATACAAAACTTCAAGATCTGGCCGAATACAATTGAGATTCATTACAGGGCCGTAAGCATGACAGAGTTTTCAGCATGTTCAATTAAGTATAAGGTATAGAGATTTCTAACTAAGGGTTTAAATTGAATCTGGTGCTCGCCGGATTGTGACTTTGCTATGTGTCTGAAATAACTAGGTGGAAAGCTTGATTATTCTATGCAATTACTCAAACCTGATTGTATGGGACGGGTGTAGTGGCGGGGCTTTGGAGCCGGAGTTGGGATTCTCTACGCGCAAACAATCTAGATGCAAACGAACCAATCTGTCTCTGCCTAGCCCGGAAGGCCGTAACTTCTCGGTCTCCACCTTCCCTCCCCGATCTATTTTTCTCCGAAACATCCCCTTCAGCACTAGCCATGTTCTTTCTGGACTCAGACTCAACCTGAGCCCTATGGATTATTGTATTATCTTTCATCACGGCAGGGAAGGTGAGTTTTTCTTGAGACATGACTGGGTCGTAAAGTGAGGCCTGGAGCAATGAGTTGGCAAGGAAACAGTAAAATCGGGCCCATACATCGGATATATCCGCGGTAAAAGCTTCACCGTAGTGGTTATACAACGATTTAAGCACCCCTGAGCCCATCGCTTCGAAGTGGAGCCGCAGAGCATTGAACACTCGACTATGTCTCCTTCCTAAGCTTGCCAAATACTCATCTAGCCTGGAGAGATTGTCCAAGTTGCTTATACAGAGGTAAACCATACCTGAGAAGGCCTGGGTCTGGTGGGTGATCGGGGGGAGCAGGTGCACAACTTCGGGATGCTCCTCTCCCACGAGGCTATACACATGCTCCCAGAAGCTAGTAGTTCCAAATAGGGTGTTTTTGGGGTCAGCAATGTCCCCACTATTGGTGTCCTTTGCTTCCATCGACCAAGTGGCTTTGAGAGTGGCAATTTCGGCGGGGGTAAAATTCACTGTAACTCTGGACAATTTTACTTCAAAGTCCCTGGCAGTGGTTTGATTATCCATCGATTTGTTGTGGCTGGAAACTGAGCTCGGACTTGAACTGAAAAGTTCATCGTTTGAAGAGTTGTCATTTTTGATAGAACTGGATGGTTGGCGGTACAAAGAGGTTGGAATTCGTGCGGTCTGAATGTTGTAAGCCATAGCAACGTTGTGTAGTTTTATATTCCTGATTTGCGTTGGTTGGTTTGGCGTGAGATACTTGCGTTTATTTATACCCCAAGACCGTCTGTATGAGATTATACTTTTGCAAGAGACATGTTTGTTGGAACCCTGCTCTGCTGATAGGCTGCTAGGGGCTCTACGCACATGGCCAGCCCGGGGCTTTATTAACAATCGAGCCAGGGGGCTCTGGGATTTTTCGTGGAAATTAAAGCCAAGCCTGCCGATACGTTAGATTATCGTATGTGTTACCCTCTGTACGCGTACAAAGGTTTGCGTGTGTACAGATGTAAACAATGCGCTCAACGTTAAAACAGGCAACTAGCCGTGATGAAACAGAGTCCGTAATGCGCACTCTCACACCCTGGTTGATGCCATGCATAAGCGAGGATGCCGAGCCACTGGCCTGGCCCACGAGAACTTGATCAGGAAAAAACTGAAAAGGCCTGCAGCGCGGTGGGTCCGATTAGACTGGAGATTTGAAAGCTTGAACATTAGATAGCTCGCATTGTTTCATTTATGTGCCTAGCTCTAACTCAGTTGTCATATTGAAGAAACGATACTGTGGGGGTTCTGGTATTGAACATCATATGTGTTAAAGGTTTAGCCTGTCGTGCATATCGTATGTCTTTGACGACTAATTATCACCTCTGATCGCTTACGCGAGACGATTGTGCAGCTACATGAAGTGACCAAGAGCCATGCTTCCACGCTTGAGACAGCAACAGGCCATATAACTCCCGGTGTATTTGAGGGTCATCAGGCGATCTTCTGCATCATCGTCGCCAGTGGGACTATAGGGCGTGAGCATCTGATACGCCACGGCAGTTCCTAATTCCGTATAGTCTGATGGGCCATAGTATTATGCATGAAGGCTTACTGCACTGCGTCCTGATGCAAGTATTCCAAATGCATGCATGGCAGAAAACCATAATCTGTTGTAAAGGAGCATGGAAGCTTTCTAAATCAAATTTATCGTAGTTAGAATGTGCAATGCCACCCAATATGATTTAAGTGAATTGCCAAGTCTACTGAACTGCCAATGGCCTTTGTAGTGTAGCCATTAGGTCGCTGCCAATCGTATCTAAAAAAAACGCGGGTTAACCAACGTGGCTTGTAAAAGATCTTTAACGCTCTTCCAATTGATTCTTGAACTGGTGGTGGGTGCCTGAGGAAAGTATAAAGCAACACATGCGCAGTGAAGTGGTCCCTCAATATAGGTATTCTCTCGCGTAGAAATAGTGTTACAAGTCAACATGTGTTATTTCCCAAGGAAAGTAGGCTGCTACGCAATTGCCTTCAAGGCAAAGACCTTCGCAAAGACCTCAGTAGTTAGTATGTCCCTATTGAAAGTCAGCTTAGGCATCACCCTTCCACGGTTCTGTGGGTAAGGTGGTCATATCGTTATTTGTCACATTACCCCAATCTGTCTGCTTCGAGTTTGTGGTTTAGGTTCCGCCGTTAATACCTAATAATGATAAACATAACCTAGTATAGTGGTTACGACTTTGCGGTTTATAAGTGCTTTGATAATTCAGTATCCTCAAGTAACCTGTAGTAAGCGTGTAGCTGTCACGTGGTAGGGATCAATATTCTATATAGGGAAGTCGATTCCTCCCTCCTTTATCCTATATACATTATATAGGTAACCAGTATTACTTATTACTATAAGTAGATATTCTACCCTTGAGGTAGAGATATACCACATAACCAGTGTTTTGCTGTATACCGACTGACTTCGAACCACTGTACACCAATCACTACCCTATCCGTTTACGTAGTACTTCTACAAAACAACGCATTTCCTCTATAGATACTACCCGCTGTGATAATTATCAAAAAATGCGCCAGCCCGGAATCGAACCGGGGGCCCAACGATGGCAACGTTGGATTTTACCACTAAACCACTGGCGCCTGCTGATGTGGTTCAGATGAGCATATCGTCATAGGTTAATGTTGGTAAGCGCTGCAAAAATCAAGGATAAGACTAGGCCATAGGAATTCACGGTGATAACAAACTGGTCCAAGTTTTATATCCACAGTTGGTTTGAGAACGAGTTCAAACACTGGAAGTGAACAATCTCCCATGTCTAAGTTTATTCTTTCCCATAAGCAGTATCAGTCCACCATATGCCCTCCATACACTTTGCTTGGTGGGCGACTCGCTATTCTCTAGGAAACATAGGCCCTGTACAGGGTAGACCTTGCCGCAGGTCCGATGAGAGTTTTACTTGTACAACATCCTTGAAATCTATAATTTTAGCAGCGTAGAGCACCCTTCATATTCCAACAATGGACAGCTGCGTACACAAGGAGACATCTCAAAAACCAAACATTTAATGCTGAAAAGACTATATATTGCTTATAATTGTCAATCACAGCTATAGGGTACGACAGATTAAAGATTACACACTTTCGTTGCCTGATATTAACCTCCAACCCCCAACGACTCTACGCGCAATGACGTAAGCTGCATCGCCCACCACAGACAAAATTGCATACGCAAAAATTTCCACTCCGCATAGACTCCCAGTCTAGACCCTACGAGCTCCTGTATATCGAAATAGGAATATCTCAAACAGCAACGCGTTATCTTCACCCCTTAATATTTCCTATGTCTAGCCAATTAACCCATGTCACCATTCAGGATGGCTGGTTCAGAGAAGTATCCGAGGGATCGTTCCCCGGCCAGGCCATGAGGTTGCGCGTGAAGCAGATCCTCCACGTGGAACAGAGCCCGTTCCAGGACATCCTTGTGTTCGAATCGACCGACTATGGCAACGTGCTTGTGCTTGATGGGATCGTCCAGGTCAGTGAGAGAGACGAATTTTCGTACCAGGAGATGATCTCCCACCTTCCACTTTTTGCCCACTCCAACCCCAAGCGCGTGTTGGTCATCGGAGGGGGTGACGGCGGGGTCTTGAGAGAGGTTGTGAAGCACGACTCGGTGGAAGAAGCCACGTTGGTGGAGATTGACGAAGGCGTTATCCACTTGAGCAAGAAGTACTTGCCACATATGGCCAAGGGCTTTGACCACCCAAAGGTCAACGTGGTCATCACCGACGGCTTTGAATTCTTGAATAAATTGTCACAGGCCCCCACCAGCGAGAAATATGACGTTATTATCACTGACTCCTCTGATCCAGACGGCCCGGCCGAGATGTTCTTCCAGCAGAGGTACTTCAAGTTGCTCCACGACGCCATCAAGGAGGACGGGATAATCATCACCCAAGCTTCGGAAAACGTCTGGTTAAAGATCCAAAACTTGAAGACTTTGATGCATGACGCCAGACAAATCTTTCCCGTGGTAGAGTTGTCCTCCTGCACGTGTCCTACCTACACCTCTGGCCAGTTGGCTTTGATGATATGTAGTAAAAAGGCTGACGACGACGTCAAGGTGCCAAAGAGGGTGCTTTCCAAAATGAAGGAGAGGGAATTGTTCAGATACTATAACTCACGGCTCCACGAGGCAAGCTTCATCTTGCCGACCTTTGCTGAAAAGATATTGGTTGACGAATCTGTATAGCGGAAGGGATCAACTCTGCACTTTGTGGGCTTGGAGCGAGTGCATAGAACGAGCACGGGCCAATTCAGTTAAGCCATTAAGCTGAAAGGCTCCAAGTAAACTGGAAGAAATAAAATCAACTGAAAGAAACCAAGCCAAAGAAATTAAAACAGGAGCTAAATCAACTCAACACCTTCTGGCTAACGAAAAAATAACCATGTCACCGGCAGTCTTAATTGAGTTCAAGCTATAAAAAAAACCTGTCACAGCTGACAGGTTTTCCATTATCATATACCCATCGTGATTAGTCCTCAAAATCTGATTTTGGCGTGACGGTCGATTTTACGGTGCAAATCACATCTTTACTGAAAAGCAGTCCTTGAAGCTAGTCATATATGGGCCATCCTTAGGTACCGTAATCTCTTGCGCAATGGGCTCAGTCAAGTTGAAAATCAAGAATCAATCTGTTCAACTAGCTCGGCCCCTTTGATATTCAAGAATCCTTCTCAGCCAGTTTATCCCCAACACCTCTTGATTGTCATTTAACCAACGTATCTGTCATGTGCTTTCACCAGAAAGGAATTCTATTGCCTACCTAGTTCAAGCTCAAAAAGACAATAATTTACCATGCTATTTATTTTATAGTCTCACAAACTTGCTAATAATTACACTGAGCAAACCTCAACAAATATTACAATCCATATCTACTTTACAAAAACGCCGCTTGCGAATACATGTTGTACGTGTCGCTGATTCCCATTATCTTGAGTCCGCGGGCAACCACACGACTTCCCTGGACGTTGAGCTTCCACTGCGACTGCAACAACTTGAACTCGATGACGTGTTTCTCTGGCAAGCCCAGGGTTCCACCGTTGGATAACTGGCCGTCGCTCCGACTGGTCATAACATTATCTAACCAGTTTTTCGGCATGCTCTTTCCGTTGATCGTACAATGGCAATCCTCTAAGTCGCAGACAATGAAGATCTCCTTACCGCTGCCACTACGAATAATGTCCTCTCTGTCGGGCAAAAATCGACCAAACTTGGCCAAATACGTCTTGGAGTATTGCGGAGAGAGCTTGAGGAACACACTGTTGTTTGCCGTGTCGAGGGACAACTTTGTAATCTCCAGGTTGGCCAGGGAGATCTGCAAGATTAGCTCGCGGTACACCTCTTTGACCTGGAGAGACAGAACCTGGTCTAAGTACGGACGTTTGTACTGCAACGGAACAAACTCAAGTCCGTCAGCGGGCGATGAAGGGCTACGGGGCGCATTAAGAGTCGGGTTGAGCAACGTTCTAGGGGAAATGTCGCTGATGCTGCCCATGGTAATTTCTTCACGAAGGGTGAATGGGTTTGTAGAGATTTTGCATTTGACAAACTGCTGTTCCAATGCCTTGAAGTTGTAGTAGCGGCACTCCTGGATCAAGTCCGCTCGGTGGGTCTCGTCGCGCACATGCACGGTATCGCCCTCAAGCGTCCTCAAGAGCTCGTGGAACAACTGTGCAGACCGGTCGCCCACCACAATGTTTTCCTGCGGTGGTGGTCTCAACATATTTTTCATCGCCACGACAACTTGCGGATCCCGGAAGGCGGCATCGTAGGAGATGGACAAGAAGTTGGGGTAGTCCCCAGGGATCAGCACGAGCTTGCGCGGGATCCGGAAGCCGCGGCCCCCAATTGTCGCAAAGTAGTCGTACAGGTACAAAATCTTTTTCAATCGTGGGAGCTTGTAGTAGTGGGCGTCCGCAAAGAGATAGGTGAATTCAATCGCGTTATCAATCTCGATGTAGTAGCCTTGTAAGTGAAGCTGGATCTTGACAAAAACCTCGGGCGACCGGTCTATCATAAGCGTGCTGTTCTGCTTCTCCTCATCTTTGAAGTATTCCGTGAAGTAGGACGGGGAGTCGGACGAAAGCGATGCCCCGCTGAGCTTGAACGACTTGTGGCCGATTTGAACCGTGTACAACTTTTCCAACGGAAGGAGGTATGAAACTTGGGGGTACATTTCGACCTGCGCCGTTTTTTCGATTTCTTTCACCATAGGGCAATCATCCGCATTCGACATTGTGTTAGATGGGCGATGGATGGCTGTGTGGATTGGCAAGGGTTAGCAACTTTGAATTGCTTGTCAAGTTTACGAAGTGTGCGGCTGAGGGTTTGCGGCAACGCTAACGAAGAGAAAACAAGAAGGGTATTGGAGCTGGATCGCAATCTTGATTCTAATCAATATCCGGGAAATATTTCTATTATAAAGTGATTATAGAGAGGCAGAGGTGCTATGTAGGTTTGTTAAAGTGGCCTGCTTTTTCAATGGAATACTGTATATTCTTTAAGTTGTAGTGAGCCCGGTGGGAGCTCGAGGTCCCAGCTTTAAATTTCACTATTGCGTAATTACCTCCAATTTAGTTCATATCTGGAAGAGAAAGATATATTATAAAATAACGACTTGTCCGTCTATCGGATGAGAATTTTGTACGCGTGTACACCGCTACAAGACGAACCATTGAGGTCTCAGCCATAGATTTCACTGTTGCGTAATTACCAAAGTACGCCTCAATTAATCCTCTGGTCTGGTTAAAAATCAGCCCGTTCTCTCTGGACCTGATGAATCTTATGGGAAATACTGCGCAAAATGTCGTCATCGTCCGGAGAAAGATCCTCGTTTAACGTAGCTCTCACAATGAGCGTTCCTAGGATAATAGTTGCCGCTGCCAATAATTTCGTAAGAAAGTTGCGGTTCATCGAGAAACAAGCTCGAGGAGAAAAATCAGAGAGGTTTGTCAAGTGCCTGAAGGCATCTTTGTACCACAGTGGCAGCAAGTATCCGAAGACGCTTTCCCTTAGGACAAAGGCTAAGGATTCGCCAAGCAGCAACTCTTTTAATGTTCGAAAAGCCACCATTTTGGTCCGTGAGAACGAAGGTGTAAGGCTGTAACTTTAAAACACAGTCTTTCCTATCCCTAGGACTTGTTTTATCCTCGGAACCAGTAACCCACGCTGTCTGATGTTTGCGCGACACGATTATTTTGCCAAAATTCCCCGTACGTATTAGAGGAGCTTTGCTGCTCTTTTGGTTTTAATGTTGTAGGAACGATCAATAGGCAATAGTTCTAGGAAAATAACCAAGTTGGTAGATCATGAGTCTTAAATAATGGTTTTCTCGTTTATTCCCATTCACCGGATGGGGCTTTTTTTCCTTTGTGAACCACAAATGCGCCTCAGAGTGTGAAGAAAAAGCGATACTACACCTGTAACAATGTTAAGGTGCGTGGTTAAAGTTTACATGTAAACGGAAAATAACAAATTTGATGGATTTATTCGACTCAAGGTTTTCCATTGAAATGTGGATCAACAGCATAAACAATTGGGCCTGTACATCAAAAGATACGCCTTTTAGAGGCGAATGGTTGCATGCGCAGCGTGAGGCGTAATCGCTGTCAATCACCCAGCTAGAGGGAAATATCACAAAGAACGAGTTGTAATGTATGTTCCGATGTGGTAGAAACACCTGTGCTTCAACCAGCAAAGTGGCATACCCTGGGATATCTGTTGAGGTATTCACACAGAAATATCCGTAGGAGTTACGCAGAATTGACTTCGGGCAGATCTAGTCGTTACCTTTCATCTTCTTTGACTTGCTTGAGAATCCTCCGCCAAAGATATCATTAATGCTAGTTTTTTTTTTGGTCTTCAACCCCGCTGTCTTGGCCTTCTTCCCACCAAAGATACTGTCGATGCTAGTACCCTTACTCTTCTTCTTCGGCGGCCCCTCTTCGGTTACGTTTCGCTTTCTGGTCTTGGGCATGGCCGGTTCCGGAATCGGGTCTAGTGGTTCCAACATCTCCCCTAGTTCTTCTCCCAAATCATCAACTGCACCTTTGGTCATTTCGTCGCTGGTAAAACTACCTGCTTGGGGTTTTGTCTGAAACGATGAGCCAAACATGGATTTTAAGAGCACAAAGACCTTTCCTAGCACACCGATTAGTGCCATACCCAATGTGATAAACTGGCCCAACCTCAAGATCCCGTTAAAGTGCCGATACGCACCTGGGATGATCTTGTTCACAAGGTAGTCCGCAACCCGCACGCGGTGCTGGTACTTAGGGGAGCATTTGCCTCCACCACTGGGGCTTTCTTTTCCATCTCTCAAGAGTATAATCTTGCGCAACTGGCGATGAAGAATGTTTAGGTGTTTCCACCACGACGCATTGCAGTGCTGGTTTTTGTTTCTGTGGTAGATGAGGTGCAAGATTCCGTACTCGGATTGTAACTGCTGAAGTGGGGTAAGGACCGGCACCAGTTTCGTTTTAGGCGGCATTTTGAAATTGAAACCGACGGTTATACGATCTAAAGGGAAATTTCTGGGGGTAATCAGAAGCTACGCCGTTTAGTTAGAGCTTGGGACATCCACTCCAACCGAAAAATATTAAATAATTTAGATGCAGGATATATGTTGCCGGATTACGTTCCAAGCACTAACGGTCAGTAATTGACATACGGCGAAAAAGAGAATAATTCTGGAGAAGCAAACCTGTCGCCTGTACACCCCAAAACCTCCAACTGTTTGAGAGATGTTTTCGTAAAAAGCTATGAAATCATGAATGAGATTAAAGCACTATGACGTACAGATGCAGCTCAAGTAGACAGATTTATCCAGACATGGCTCTTTGAGAAAAAAATGCTCTTGTACGTATATTTTGATCTGTATACCGCTTTCTCACCTTAACTACTGGTTAGTCGAAGAGATATAGTTGGTGGAACTCGTGCAAGCAGCACCAGCACAGCAGAATCTTGCATCTGGGTCTGTTTTTTTTACTCTCCGAGTATTGTTTTCAACCCCAGCACCTCAAAGCCCGGTCGAAGATCTATCCGGCCGATTTCCTATTTGGGAGTCTCTAACCTACCATGTAAACTATATTATTGCTTCCCTAGCGATGTCTCGCACTGTAAGTCGTGTTTGACGCGGCCAGAGTCCAAGTTAATGCTAAAGCAGTATGCCGGAAGGTGCATATTCTAAGCAAGAAGTGAAGCCTAAGTGGTATTTCAGCTCCGATATTATTTCTTTTCTTGTATCCTAATTAGGAAAACAATTAAGGAGTGGCACTCCATTTGGACGCACGCGCATGCCATTCCCTGTTTGGGCAGAAAACCTCCTAATGATGCCCCTTTGGGATTTTCGCTTTTCTTTTTTTCACACCTTGCCAGCCACTCTCGGGGAGAGGGCGGAGTCTTCACCCATGTTACCGTTAGTGCTTACTGTACAAGCCATACGAATAAGGATGACTAATACACCAAATTTTTGAAGTGCGCTAATAGTCCCTCATACCACGAGGCACCCGTTCAAGCGAAGTCAGAGAGTCTTCGGAATTTTCAATCTAATAAATATAGGAGGGGCCTTTGTAACTAATTGTCCCGCAGCATATCCTGAGTCGTCTAGCGAAGGGTTTGTGCGGATGAGAATCCAGTTCTCCTACGATTTGCACAGCGCTTACTCTTGAGGAAAGCGGAAAAAAGAAACTGCGTTAAGGTTAAGGTTCGGCAATCCTGCACGTAGTCAGCATTATTGGCAGATAACTCCCGAGGCCAGTAACGCTAAACAGGCATATTCACGCATCCTTATCAATGGGGCTGGATGGAGCAAAGCGAGTCCGCTGGTTTACGCGTTTTTAATCTATAAATATATATTAAAAAACCATCTAGTATCCAGGAACAGGCCCAACGAAAACATTTTGTAGCAAAAAACGAGCTCGTCCGGAATAGTCCAGTAGCATGAAGACAAGAGAGGAAAAAACAATGATTCAACTAAAGAAATTATCAGAGATAAATAGGAGGATGGATATTGTTTAGGATATAAAATGCTAATTAAAAGTAGGCATGAAACATGAAGAGAGAACCCACAGAAGTAGCTTCTCCGAACTCAAGTTAAATAACTTACAAGAAGAAAGCAGCGGCAGCAGCCAAGGCAGCGGCAGCACCGGAACCGGCGACAACAGCGGCGGCACCTTCGAAAGAGGAGGTGACGGAGTGAGTCTCGTTCTTGGCTGGGGCAGAGGTGACTGGGACAACAGTGGCTGGGACAGCAGTGGTTGGGGCAACAGTGGCGTTAGCTGGGGCGGAAGTGAGTGGGCAGTAGGTAGTGTAAACGGTTTCGACGTTTTCAACGGTGGTGGTGATGACGGTGACACCGGTGGTGACTGGGACCTTAGAGCAGGCGTTGTGGGAACAAGAAGTGATAGTGACAACGGTGGTGGTCTGCTGGTCAACAGTCTCGACAGAGGTGATGTTGTAAGCAGTGGCAACGGAGGCGGCAGCGAGGACGGTAGCGACGGTAGAGAATTGCATTGTGTATAAGCGAAAGTATAAGAGTTAGGTCTTGGGATGAGTTTATTTATCTAAGGAAAGGAATAACAAAACTGAACGCCAAAAGAACCGGGCAGGGGCAGCCTTATATATTCTTTTTTTTTCGCTCCGTCCCCGAGAGACAAGGCGTTGGGTTCGGAGCTGTTCCTTGTCGTTCACCAATGTTGTTGTTTCGTCTGGCTTTTCTACATGGGCGTGCATACTGCGCGCATAGAAAAGCGCGAAAATCCCTGTTAGAGGAATAGCCAACTTGAGCTGCATGCATATCACACGCAAATTTTTCACCTTGCATACCAGACAGCCTACAGGTTTTGGATAGTATGCAGCATCAGGATGCCTGTAATTGTTTTAGGAAGGGCACCTTCTGCATCGGGCGGATAGCCAGCCGATTCTAGCTTTCGTCATGTAAGGCTCGGTATCCCGGGTTACATTGTAAGAGAGGCACCCAATGTGTGGCGGGAGGGAGTGGTAGAACCTCTTAGCTGCCAAAGGTAATTATCAGCACCACCTTTCTTGCTCCTTTTTATCAGGCTAAAGGAAGAAGCGAAAACACGAAACCATTGATCAAGGAACGAGGGAAAGATGGATGGTGGCCCTGAAGTCTAGAACTCTAATTGAACAGTTACCGGCAAACTAAATGTCTCAGTTATAGTGTAGATATTAGACAGCCGTGTCTTGGCACCACGTTATATCCCGAGTTAATCTCGCACCCCTGTAGAGCTGCATAACAATGCGGTCAGACAGACTAGTGTAGGGAAGTGGTCCCATACCCGGTTGAAACTCTATCGTCAGGCAACGTAGATTTTTCCGAGTTCTATACAGGCAGCTGATATACAATATACATGCAGATTTTTTTTCGTTTACCCCTTGCCTCTATATTCTTGGTAGACGGCCAGACGCCTTAAGGGGAAGCTATAACGAAAATGGTAGTTACCCGAGGTCTGAATACGACGACGTGATGAGATAATTTTCACGGCATTGGGTATGTATGGCAAAGTCCTATGGCTTGTTAAAGTGTGTAGTAGTTAGGGGGCCGATCTTTATTCCTCAGTAAGTAGCTCTGCAAGTCAACTCTTACCATATGTGAATCGCACTGTGCACTCAGTTTGGATTCTACAATCCAACTGTATCCCGCAATTCTCAAGCACGCTCTAATAGCGAGCTAAGCTTCCCATTTGTAACACGTGAGTGGAATGCACCTGGAGCACTATTTACTACTGTATCACCGCCGCTGACCGAGGATCCGATTTACGTGATCTGCGCATGGACTGCATGAGAGAACGAAACCTAGGTGAGGGTCATCAGGCGTGGCTCTATCAGATCGCGTTCCATAGTTCACTGGTGTTTGCTTGGCTGGCTGTTATGAAAACGTTGTTAGCTATCCTGTATTGTTTGTAGCCTCCAGACTGTTAATACCGGTTGTGAAATCTATTTTCGGATGGAGTGGTTACTGTGGCACGGTTTAAAGCGGAGCCAACCGAGGCACCACCCGTGGACCTATACACGTGTGTGATTATTCTGTACGAATGCGTTCAAATAATATACAACGCGTAACGTCCCGTTTGTCCAGAAGCGAACGTGAGTATGAGACGCGTCTCAAAAACGCGATTCACTATGTAAACTAAACCCTGCGGAAGGCTGCGTAAACGCGATGTAAACAAACAATGGCTCTGCTCGGGGTTCGTATCCGCCGGAAACTTTTTCCATTCTACGCGTCGTGTATTGTTTTTCCTGGTGCGTGTATTACCTGTCTCTAGTGTTGAGACTCGGTACAATGTCAGACACCTTGCAAGATATGGATTAGTGTTGAAAGACGAACGCGTTATATCACCGTTCTGGGGGGTTGTATACTGATCTAGCGCCACGCAAGCGGTAATGAAGAGCTGGCTTTAGTTCGCTTCTTGTTTCTTCGTCAAGAAATAAAGGAGTTGTTATGTGTGGATTTCGATGCATATACTTTCTCGTCAAGGATACAGATGTCGCGAAAGTGTCTTCCGAACTTTGTAGGTGGGGTAGAACCATACAGGCGGTCGGGTGTTGGTGTCCAGGAAAATCGGATCGCTGGTCCTGCTAGAAACACAATGCCCAAACATGCGGGGTTTAGTCATATTCAGGGGTTGCTATTTCTTGGGGGACCTAGTTAGGTAGATCTAGCCCTTTCAAGGGATAAAGGGCTGGATACAACGTGTAGCTTGAGAAAACACACCATGAACCGGCGTTGCAGACAGTATATGCGTGGCTCGGCTGAAGTTTCCCAAATACTGTTAACTATGTAGTATTACCAGCACTAAAGAGTACTGTACTGCAGTATTCATTCAAGTGATGGAGTCAGTAAAACGTTTAAAGAAACATACTCAGTGGGAATATATAAAAGTATACATATAACCGAAGGTTTAGGTAGACTGTTAATCTAATATTTATTGAAAGCTTGATCTAAAATAATATTATCTGCTTTTGAGATTATATACGTGTATATGATTATAATATATATATATATACATTAATATCGGACCGTGGATTATCACGAACGCTGATTTAAACCATGAAAATAGATTATTAAATTCGCTTTTTTATTCTGTTTCATATGGCTAACAATCAATTTAATTTTGGCACTACAGATGAACCTTGAAATAGTCCTTTTGGTGAACCCTATATGACTGGTAGCAATGGATCAGGTTCTAGAAGGTGAAAAGCCTTTAGAAGAGAACTAAGGAGCTGTTTTTATGATTAACTACGCCGCTTTTACTTCTGCACCACGGTACTTGAATGCAATTTAAATTTTAACCGGTACCTCGCTGCCCCCGGCCGAGTACAGTTAGCCCAAACCTGAATTTCGGCCGCATTGCCCCTGCATCAAGGCACCAATGACTGGTATATTGGTTCCTGGCTAATCTACCAAACTTATGTGAGCGAAAAATGATCGACAGAGGCTGTACAAACTCTCTATATTTAGAAGTCGCATAGCCTCAAGGGTCGTATGGCATCACACCTCCGTATGCGTCATCTGCCGCACATAGGGTGCCTTATTTTATTATTTTTCTGTAACAGGTAAAAGACCAGCGTATTTCCCCGGGATGTTGGTATTTTCCTTCGAAAGTAGGATGGTATCCTGAAACTTCCCAAAGTTATCCTCAAACGTACAGTGCCAACTAGACAACGTCCTCTGCATATCCCTGTCATTCAAAGTTTTATAAGCCAGCCAGGTACTGATAGTCTGCACTAATGACTATATATCCTGACCATACTCATGGTAAAACTTGGTGTTTACCATGCACAACCTCCCCAAGCTTTCAGTAATGTACAAGCGGATACTCAAGTATTTTCCTGCCTTGTGATACGCTACCGGCTGTCTCAATATACAAATACGGTATTCTGAGGGAGAACTTCAAGTTTAGCAGAGGCTGGCCTCAGCCTATAGTAATCATCTACACGTAGCATCTCTAGCACAACTACGGCGCTTAAACAAAGGAAACAGAGCTGATTATATCAATTTAATCGTGCTAATTCATCTTCGTGTCGACTTGAGTACTCAAGCCCAAGCTTTACCTTACGTACAGCCCCGTTTGTACATTGCAAGTAACGTCTGCGCCCGCAGATCTGACCGTGCAGGACGTTGGAAAAGTATCGCGTCTCAGATCAACCTCAGCCTCGTCAAGAGACCCGAGTATATATCACTGGATATCCCAATCGCTGTCTCACCTTTGAAACGCATTTAAACGCCCACAGTTGAGTATACGTTTAATCCCCCACAATTGAACACCCGGTTACACTACCCACAGAGCAGCCCAATTCACTCATGCCCAATCTTAGTTACGAATACAGCCACGCAGACGGTGACGAGGAGGCACCGCCAGTACCGACCGGCTACAACTACTTGAACCCGCCCGCGACGTCGTACGATGGCTACCACGGCTCGCAGGAGCGCCTCGCGCAGCCCGCGCGCGCATACTACATGAACAGCGCACAGGACGTCAGCGAGTACAACCTGGATACCGGCGCGTACAACCCATTTGCGTCGCACGAAGACTTGCACGCAGACACTTACCCGATGCACGACGTTGACCCGGAAGGATACGCGCGCGAGGACCCGCGCAGCACGTATGTGCCAGTGTCCGCGTCCCCGCCCACGCGTTCGCAGTACGCATTTGCAAACCTTTTTGACAACCAGCCATACGAAGATGACGATGATATTGACGCAAATTTCCTTCCGTTTCCGATCACCAGTGATCCGTTACCGGTGAATACGATAGAGGATACCCCTGGCGTCCCCCGGGGCGAATACGGAGCCGAGTACGGCGAGTACGGACCATTCGCTGACATGACCGAACCGCCCGAAACCCAGCTCCGCCGCTCCCACACCATCACCAAAAAGGTCAAAATGATCAACGGGAACCTCGTGCTCGACTGCCCCGTCGCGCCCTCCCTCCTCAACAAATATCCCATGACGATCAACCAGGAAGAGCGCGAGTTTCTGTTTATGCGCTACCAGGCTGCGACATGTGGCCCGCTGAACTTCATCCGGGACCGTTTCACCCTCCGCCAGAATCACTATAAACAGCAGCGGCAGACGGAAATCATGATCGTGGTGACAATGTACAACGAAGACGACATCCTCCTCGCGCGCACGCTCAAGGGTGTGTTTAAAAACATCAAATACCTCCATTCGCGTGAGGGCTCGTCCACATGGGGTGCGAACTCGTGGAAGAAAATCGTTGTGTGCGTGGTGAGCGACGGGCGCTCGAAAATCAACGAGCGCGCGCAGGCACTTCTCGCCGCGCTCGGCGTGTACCAGGAGGGGTTTGCGAAATCCAAGGTGAATGACAAGGATGTGCGCGCACACATCTACGAGTACACCACCATGGTGGGGATTCTGCGTGTGGACGACACGGTGAAGCTCACCACGGAAAAAACCACTCCCGTGCAGCTACTCTTTTGCTTGAAGGAAAAAAACGCAAAGAAAATTAATTCCCATAGATGGTGTTTCCAAGCGTTTTGTCCGTTACTCAACCCAAACGTTATCGTACTTTTGGACGCGGGGACGCAGCCGAGCGGAAAGGCGATCTACCACTTGTGGAAGGAGTTCGCGCGCGACCTGCGCGTCGCGGGCGCGTGCGGTGAGATCAAGACCTCGCTCGGCAGCAACTACAAGTTGCTCTTGAATCCCCTAGTGGCGGCCCAAAACTTTGAATATAAAACGTCAAACATCTTGGATAAACCTACAGAGTCTGTGTTTGGCTTTATTTCCGTGCTTCCAGGCGCCTTTTCCGCGTACCGCTGGACAGCCCTCCGCAACGACGTCAACGATAAGGGCCCTCTAGAAAAGTACTTCAAGGGCGAGTTTCTACACGGGACCGGGGGTGCGATCGATCCCGATGACGATGAAAGGGAGTTGAAAATGCAGTTACAGAAGGAGGAGGCAGGAATTTTCACCTCCAACATGTATCTTGCGGAGGACCGGATTCTCTGCTACGAGCTCGTCGCGCGTGAGAACTGCCTGTGGCTCCTCCGCTACGTCAAGAGCGCGGTCGCGGAGACGGATGTACCAGAGACGCTTGCTGAGTTTATTCTTCAGCGCCGGCGCTGGCTCAACGGGTCATTTTTTGCCGCCATCTACTCGCTCTTCCACTTCCCCAAGATCTGGTGGTCTTCGCACTCCTTCTTCCGCCAATTCTTCCTCCACATCGAATTTCTCTACCAGTTTGTCGCGCTTCTTGTTTCCTGGTTTTCTGTCGGGTCCTTTTTCTTAGTTTTCCGCATCTTGACCCTCGCCATTGCGGACAAGGCGATTGGCTTTGTCGCGGGAAAGTACCTTTCCGTGGTGTTTCTCTGGCTCTACGTCGCGTGCATCGTTACTACATTTGTGCTTTCGTTCGGGAACAAGCCACAAGGGACGCAGGCGTTTTACATTGTCATTGCTGGCTTTTTTGCGGTACTCATGGTCTATATGATTGTGTGCATCTTTGTGCTTTGTATTCACTTCATCAAAGAGCTTTCGTCGTACCTCACCGCCTCCAACAAGTCGCTTAGCGTGGCGCTTTTCTTCCAGATTCCAATGCTCCGCGACCTTTTAGTCTCTATCTGTTCGACATACGTGCTCTACTTTGTCGGCGCCTTCCTCTACTTTGAGCCGTGGCACATGTTCACTTCGTTTGGCCAGTACATGTTGCTCTCTCCCGCGTACATCAACATTCTCAACATCTATGCGTTTTGTAACATTGATGATATTTCTTGGGGGACCAAGGGGGATACCGGGGCGAAGGATTTGGGGAGTGCCAAGATCTCCGACAGCGGGAAGTTAGAGATTGACATCCCGACGATGGCGGAGGAAATCGACCAGTCCTACACGAACCAGATCTTGATCATTCAGAAACCACAGGAAAATCCGGAGAAGGTTGTGACGCGGGAAAATGAGGATTACTATGCGTTTGTAAGATCGATTGCCGTACTTGCCTGGATGTTTTCCAACTTTGTGCTCATCGCTGTGGTTTTGCAGACCGGTGGATTGAACATTTTCACCAATACAACCGGTACAACCAATGCAACCAAGAGAGCGCTTACTGGAGCAGACGCAAACTACCCCGGGTTGTTTACCACCGATACGTCGTCCAGCGGGATCTTTTTGGCGGTTATTTTGTGGCTTGTGTTTTTCATGGCCGCGTTCAGGTTTATCGGGTGCACGCTGTACTTGATCATGAGGGTCAAGACCAAGATGGTGAGACGGTAGGTTTTATTATAAAGATAATTTAGCTTTAAATTTAGTCTAAGATGGATGAAAAAAAGGCGTGTAGTAATAATGAATGAAGTAAAATGGGGAAACGCATACTATTTAAATAATCAGTGCGCCGATCTTCTTACAAAAGGCGAGATGAGTAGTTTGAAATTTATGGATTTACTATCGCCGAGATGTTGCTAGCCAAAGTGTAGAACTGGATGAGAATATTATAGTTTAAACCTGAAATAAGAGAAAACTGTGCCAACCATAAAGGGCTGAATACACCACATCAAAGACGCAAAGTGGCTTTAGATAGGCTGATAATGATAACTATATACTGGCCAAGACTTTAAATTGCATATCCAACAACTCGATTTTAAGTTAGGATGGTTTTGTATTCCTATTTCTGATTAACTTGAGTCCAGGTTATAATATAAGTTATCACCTGTTAGGACACACCACTTGTTAAGTACAGTCTGCACCTCGAAACATGCCGTCCTGTTCATCTCCACGCAACCACCGATCCGTTCTTTTTCCAGCAACCCCCAGAACATAACTTCAACAAACAAAACCACGGAACCCTGCCTATTATCTATTTACCTCTCATTTAGCGCTAAAATCCCCTGTTTTATAAACCTTGGATCCAACATCCTGCACACTACGCTTCCGGGTAACTGATGAGCTGCGGGTGAAAAAAAAATATTTTTACTGCATAAGACAATTTTCCAGCTACCAACCCTCATCTACCAAATCAGTCCCCAATATGTCTGAAAACGGTCCTCTCCTTTCTGCGGTGTTTGATCCGTCAGGGTCACACCTCGCTTCCGCCATCGTGGCACTCGACGCCCACAAGGTCCGAGTCCAGTCCACCCAGCCAGGCAACTCGGCCTTGGCTCACGCGTTCGCCTTGGATAAGGGCAGCAAATTGACCAGCGTGTCGTGGGGCGCATTGTCCCTGAGTGGTGGCCAGAAGAAGCAGAAGACTGCGGCGATCGAGCACCAGATGGTGGCCATTGGGTTGAACAAGGGCCACATTCTTCTCTACTCACCAACACAGAACGAAGTGGTTGCCAAGTTAGAAACTCCACAAGGCACCTCCATCACCGATTTTCATCACTCCGAGCTCACCGGAACTGGTTGGTCGGTGGATATTACCGGCACCATCATCGAATGGGACCTCCTCACCTTCAAGATGAAACAAAAGCTCACCTTGGTCCAGGACAACGAGATCAAGACCGTGCAGACCATTATCCACGCCAACGCCCCGCACTTGTTGGTAGCTTCCCACAGCGTATACTTGGTCGATCCACGCGCCCCTGAGGAGGCGATTGCAACGTTCCCGGGCCACGTTTCACCCGTGCACACCATCTTGCCTGTGAATGACAACCTCTTCTTCACCGCGGCCATGGGTGACCGCTTCATCAACCTCTACTCTATTGCCAAGCGCGCCACCCAGACGGTGTTTGTAGCACAGTCCAACGTAGTGGCAATCTCCTTTGTGGAGTTTGACGGTCACTCTGTATTAGCAGCGGTCACCGAGGACGGCCTCGTGGAGGTGTTCACCGATGCACTCGTCTCAGCGGAGGTGTCCAACAAGAGAAGAAATGCCAGAGGCGTGCAGTCGCGGTCGGCAAACGCCACTATCAAGCTCCAGAGACCGTCTGGGGATAAGGTGGCGATCAACTCGGTCGTGAACTTGGACAGCCAGATTGTAGTGGCGTGGTTGGAGGAGGCTAGCATTCCGTACTTTGAGCGGATCAACTGGTTGACCACGGAAGATAACCAGACGGTGTTGCTTCTGGGTGATGTGATGCTTGAGAAGAGCAGACCGAGCATGAAGCCGACCGACCACTCGCTCTTCGGCCACGACGTGGCCGCACCAAAGCATTACAACGAAGGGAATGCGGTCGTCACCAGCGGTGACAACTTCAAGGACCTCGAAAACGAGAGCGAGGAGGAGGCGGAAGAGGCGGAGTCTCTTGCGGAGAGATTGCAGAAATTGAACGTGGAACCAAAAAAGAAGAAAAAGGCACAGACTGGGTCCTTGACGGTGGTGTTATCGCAGGCGCTCAAGGCAAATGACCACACGTTGTTGGAGACGGTGTTGAACAACCGTGACGCGACCATCATCAAAAACACAATTAGACGCTTGGACTCCGCGTTGGCAGTGGTCTTATTGAACCGTTTGGCCGACAAGGTGTCGCGTCAGTCCACACGCCAAGGCCAGTTGAACGTGTGGATTAAGTGGATCATGGTGTTACACGGGGGGTACATGGTTTCCTTGCCAAACTTGGCTCAGACCTTGGCGTCACTCTACGCCACTCTCCACAGACGCTCCGCCATGTTGAATAAGTTGATGGAGTTACAGAACCATTTGAACATGTTGCACTCACAGGTCAGTTTAAGACGCGATATCTTGGGCAGAGCCACTGGTGTCGAGAATCCAAATGATGTTGAGGGCGATTCTGACGTGGAGTACAACGAGGAGTGGGACGATGCCCGCGAGGAGAATTTGATTGATGACGGCGAGGAGGATTTTGACTCCATGGATGAGATTGATATGGAGCAGGATGATTACAGCGTGGAAGAAGGCAGCAGCGACGGCGAGGAGGACGACGACACAAATATCAATTCCATGCTAGATTTGGAGGCGGAAGAGGGGGATAGTGATGTTGAAGTTGGTGTGGATTACGGTTTAGAGGAAGAGGAAGAAGAGGAGGATGAGTTGGCGCATATTAAGAATGCTAAAAGTCGTCGCTAAAAGGTCATCGGGCCTAAGTCCAGGCTAGAAAGCACAGGATATTGCCTCTCCAAAGTTAGCAAGCATAGTTTTAGCCTTCAGATCATGTATAATAAGTAAATAAAGCATTTTAAGTGGATAAGTGTAGATCCAGATGCTCGAAGAGCAAGTTCTTACAAGGCAGCGCGTAGAAAGTCCACAGTAAGAGAACTAAGCAAATACCTTTAAATAAAGGAAGGGTGGGTGATAGAAAAAGGGAAATTTAAGTTAAAAGCGATTCGTACCTTTTAGATGGGAATCTAAAGGGGACCAATCAACAAGACACATCCACACCGGAGGGTAAACCCTATAATGTACAATGGAGACCGCTACATAATACACTTTGTCTAGTATTATCGAAGGAAATATGATTTATTTATCGACACAAATAAAGGTTAATCTAATGGCTACAATCAGAAACCCATCTTGGGTAGACCGCTGCAAAAACCCTCTTTAAGAGCTCCAGTGTCTTGAACGTAAATACTTGTGTATCGAAGGTTACAAAAAGAAATTTTGGGCAGAAAAGATATAAAACAAGGGCACTGCAAGTCATTTTATAATAGATTGTTGTGTAGTAAGCAATTGCTACGGTATTCACGTCTTAGTGGGTTGACCAACTATCAGGCGACAATTTTCGGTACAAAAAAAACTAATAGCTATATCTTTCCATCCCACAGTCTATATTATTTGCTCCTCCAAGAAAAGATGCGGTGGCTCAATGGTAGAGCTTTCGATTCCAAATCGAAGGGCTGCAGGTTCGATTCCTGTCCGTGTCATTCTTTTTGAAGACTGAAGTAGAGACGACTTATATTTCCATGACCGTTTAATTTCATAGACAAACCAGTAACCCCACGTTATTCCCCTGGCGAAAATCTATACCATCAAGACATCGAGGGCCCAGGAGTCACGCCCATCAATTTCCGAAATCATTCTCTCTGGCCCAACTTCGAAAACTGATGATATTTCGAGACCCAGAGGTCAATATATTACAATTATTCCATGCCATCCATATAATACTAGTTTAATCAGCCTTTTTACATATATAGTGCTTCATTGGAAGTCCCAATAGTCTTGGCACACCACATCTACTGTAACTCATTTATCCTTAGGCAAAAAACGCTTGGGCCTCTGGCGACAAGTTTGGTAGAACCTGGGAGGACAAGCTGCCGCCAATCAACTGGTTCAACTTCTCCAAGTTGGCGGTGATGTAGGCCTTAATTTGACCCTTGTCGGTGTTAGAGAGGGCTGGGGCCGGATCCAACGGCTTATTGGCAATGGCAATCAACTTACTGAAATTGCTCCCGAAGGAAATTTCTTCAAACTCGTACTCCTGGTCAAACGAGACGGATGAGTCGGCCTTGAGGCCGGAAATAGACTCCGACGTGGCCAACTTCAACAATACCTCGAGCGTTGGCAACACCTTGTCGGTGTAGCTGCCCGTGGTAAACTGGGAGGAGGTGGTAAGATTGCTCAAGCCCGCAACGACAATCTTGCGGTCCAAGATGTTGGCGATGGAGGCGGATGTTGGCAAGACAAACGACAGGTACACCTGCCCAAACACCCCAGGTTGCACTTCATCCAAGAACTGCACCGCAAAGTCCGGCCCCAAGTTGGGCAAGACCGCAAGGCTGGCAACAAACACGGTGAGTTTGCGCACAAACTTCTCGGTCTTGGACGTCTGCAATCTCTGCAAGAGCACCATGGCAACCTGTTTCAAGAAAGGTTGGAGTACCGCGACAGGCACATTAATGAGGATCGTCTCGAGGAGCTCAAAGCCGTGTACGTCGTTGACTTTAGACGATATCAACTTTTGAAACACCCCCAACAACGGCGTGAGGGCCTCTGGCGACGGCTCGTAAAACACGGACGCCTGCTGGGCCACGATGGCCTGGAGCAAACGCGTGACCCCTGGGATGTTGCCGCGGAACTCCCACACGCTCGGCGACATCAACGGCTTGATGAGCTGTTGGTAGGTCTGGGGCAAGGGGTGCTCTTTCGGCAACAACTCCAACAAGTAAGCCAGAATCTGGAACACGTATGGCACAAACTCCTGGACATCACTGCCAAGAATGCCGAGCAACGAAGGGAGCACGAGTTCGATGAGCTGTATGACCTTGGCGCCGTCCACGCCAGTTGCCGTATGCGACGAGTGCTTGATCAAGATGGCGATGCACTCGAACGTGTAGTGGGAAAAGCGCGGGTTAGACGGGTTCTTGGCAATGACCTCCACAATCGACACCAAGTGCGCAAGCAACGCCTGTACGTGTTCGGCCATGTTGTTCTCGGAGGTGAGGAGGATGCGCATGATGGTTTTCATCAAGAATTCGTTCTCGGCAAGCTTTTCCGGCGACGAGGAGTTCAATGTGAGCTTGAACAAGTTACTAACGAGCCCGTAGGCGATCTGACTGGTGATATCAGCCTTGGTGAAGAGTAAGCGGTTGTTTTTGTGGATCGACAAGATCTTTTCGAGGGTGATAGCAGTGTAAGTATACACCACGTAGTCATTATCGGGAGTGAGGTGCGCCGATAATAATGGGAACGTCTCAAACAACTGCTGCTTGGTCAACTGGTTTCGGAAGATGTAGATGTATTTGATAGCGTCGACCTTGAGGATCGGGTGGAGTGCGCCCTTCGTGGCCATCAAGTCGGCCGCAACGTTGTCTGTGAAGAACTTGACCACGTCAATGAGCAAGTTGGTGGAGGTGACCCCGGACTGGGTAACCGCGCCCTTCGTGGCTAACGCCGAAAAGAGGTATACAGCCATGTCCTTCGCCTTCCAGTTCGCAGCGTTTGCCTGATACTCCGCCAAGAAGCTGTTCACATAGACCATCGTAACATTGGTGACCAACGTTTCGTCCACGTTCTCCTTCAACGAACGCAAGAAGTCCGTGGCGCTGCGTCTTCTGGTGTCGGAGTCACTCCCCTCTAAGTCACGTCTGATGTACTCGATCGGGTCGTCCTCAAACAACTCCTCGTCCGTGTCGCGGATGCGCACGTTCGGCAAGAGGATCTTCTCGACAATCTCCTTGAGTGCGGCCTCCTGCGAGAACATCGGCTGGAACTTGGCGATTTTGACGACAGAGTCGAGGAACGCCAACGCGCGCGACACTAGAAGATCGTTCTTTGGCTGCGCGGTCGCAGCCGTCAACAACGCCCATACTGTCTGGATAAAATCCCCGATCAACGGCTCGAATACGTCCTCATAGCGCGTTGTGTAGAGTGAGACAAGCTCGCAGATGGCCGTCTGCACGCGCGTAACGACGTCGATTTCGTCATCCTCGGCCGCGTTCTGGAGCACGCTCGCGGGTGCGTAGTGCAAGTATTTGTGGATGATACCCATGCCTTGGGCGAGGTTATCCTCGAAAAACTCAGGAATGTCCTGACAGTTCAAGTCGTAGTAGATCTTGACGAGCAAGAGGAGCGCGTCGAAGTAGCACGCGAGTTGCGCCGTGCTCTGCTCCGTACTGATCAACTGATCGAGCTGCACGAGGAGATGCAAAAACGGCTGCTGGAACTTCTCCAACACGAGTTTGATCTCGAGGAACAACGCGTCCGAGCGGAACAACGGTCTCCAGCGGCGGAAAATGCTGTGCGCCACCGTTAACACACCCTTGTTGCGCACCCAGTCTGTCGGCGAGAGCCGGGTTACTAATTCGTCCACCAAGTTGGTCCACCGGTCCGGAAAGTCGGATTCCGCGATAATAGAGATGGATTCGCCCATCTGGACTTGCAAATTGTCCGGGAGGTCCAACATGATGTCGATGATGGACGCTTTGATTTGGCGTAAATCGGCCTCCGCAATTTTGTAGTTACCGTCCTCGTCAATGAACTTGCGCTTCAAGAAGTTCTTGAAGAAGATGGCGCCCGAGAGGCGCACGCTGGCCGCGAGATTCTTGGCCGAGACGAGCTGGAGGAGGGTCAAGCTGAACCCGGGCTGTGTCTCCACTTCCCGCAACTGCTTTTCAGCATCTCTGGAGGTGGCCGGATTGAGCGAGTTCTGCAATAGCACCGCAATGGATTCAAACGACATGATTGGGAAAAGAAGAGTAGGGGGGAGGCGTGCCAGTTTGTTTTAGAAGAACTTTTTTCTCCGGCATACACGCGAGATCGAACACTGCCAAACGCCAAGGTCGAGTCGGCTAGAGGGAGTAAGATGGTAGGAATCATATGTGGATAGTAATATAAATTCATATACTAAACCAGCCACCTCTGTCATTGAGTAATAATGTATTCTAATAACACATTAAGTAGGCCATCCAGGGTGTGGACAGTGGCCAAGGCAGAGCTTGATAAATCACGTGATGTAATTCTAGAGTGGCAATGTGTTGACAATATGTAGTTGGGCAGCCATAACAATGGAAGGTGGAGAAAACGTGAAAGAAAAAGTCTGGCTTTTATAGGGGAGTCAAGTGCGACGGCAAGATGCAATCGCTCAGCTAAAAGCGTCAGCAGAATGATACTGGCAACCTGCGACACGTAAAATGTGACAGTGCGACACGCAAAACCTAAGTGCAACACATGTTAAATTAGTGAAAGGGAAATAAAACCACAGGTCATGAGCGCGGGGTTCAAATTGAGGGGATTCAGGTAAGGTATTGCATAAAACAAATGCTGAGATATGGCCATTACTGAATCGGTAGAAGCATAGGACGTATCACTAGCGAAATAAACTCAATTCTCCTGAAAGAATCTGCTATTCATGTATATCTAGGACCAAATAGAGTCGCTATTTTTTATAAGATCGTTGTTGAATTTTACAATAAATAGGAATTTTTACTCTGTTCTCTTTTTAAACGCGGTGAAAGACTGATATTGCTTCCCCAAAAAGTCTGTTCGAAAAGACACAACAGTTAAGCCGAACCAATCTGGTTCATATAAACATCGAAATGGCCGACGGAACAAAGAACAAGTAAACCAAGCAGGAAATTGAACCTTGAGCCATTTACACCCAAAATGAGTATCATACTAAACCGCACGACCGTCCATGTAGAGGTTTTCTTTTCTGACCCGAATCCCCGGGATCAATAGATTTTACAGGTATTTTCCGTGCTTCAGAATTCCCTAGTATCATGAGACACGTAAGAGATCTGATATCCTTTCACGATCTATTTAAATAACATTTTTTCAGCCTTTTTCATCCTGATTAACATATTAATTTAAGAGTATCTGATTGTGAATTCTCCCCTGTAGCATTTTAACCAGAATTGCAGGCACAACATTGTGCCTGTTGTGGTGTGCGTCAAATCAAGACCGAAAAGCAAAGCACCCATTTTGCCTCTCTTTAAAACTCATATTTAAAACCCAGCTTCGAGAAACCATGCCGTATTCTCTCCAGGCTCCTCAGTTACTTGAAATGTCAGGGGAGAATTATGAATCAAGATCGCCGTCGCGGGAAGGTCTCTACTGCCAGTTACTTATAGACAAAATCCCTGAGCACTCCTCAGCCTTCGACTATTACATCGACCCTTCGATGATTTCAAAACCAACTCTGAACCCCCCTCCTACATCACTTGCCTCTGATAACGGACTCACCTGCGAATCAAATCATTTCACAACAAATTCAAGCACGCTTTTTTTCGACAATTCCTTCACCGCTTTGAACACAAGTATGTCTAGTGGACCAAAGCCTAATATTCAGAGAGACACCACCTATGTATTGGAGGACCAGAATCCCCTCAAACATAACGTCAGGATGAACGATCTGGCAAATCTTTCCTCTCCCATTCTCCGCTCCGGGATGAAAACTGACCTCGAACAAAACTACGCCTATAGCGCTCCGAGAGACGAGATAGAGTATGCAGATGTGCTGATAAACACGGAGAATGAATTGTATCCACGCTTGAGTCAGCTAGACGACTTCTACAACTCTAAAACCCTCAGTCAGTGTTTCCAAGACCCCAACGGAGATAGACCCTTCAGTTCAAACTTTATTAATGAGCATCTTTGGCTCTTCAGACGCCCCTCGCGGGCTATAGCGCATCGGGAAAGGATGCCCTCCAGACTACAGGGGAGAAATCTCTCCGAAAGGAAAGATACCCGGGAATGGTCAGGCACCGATCTCACCCCGAGTCAAAGCTCGTCTCTCTCACAACCCTCATTGCAGATCCTAGACCAGAGATCCTGGGGAGTGCTAGATGTAAAGACGGACACTATCAAGCCGACTGAAGCATTGATCAACCAATTCCAGGTTCCCGTGTGCCCTTTCCCCACCTCCAACACCTCCGATATCTCTTTTCAGAAGTCAGATAATGGATACGGCGTAAGCAAAAGTTTTGAACCCCCCCTGGACAACGAAACCGGGGTAAGGTCTCGGGACATGTACATTCCCCAAAATCCTAGCAGCCGCGAGAACAATCGGCATTCAAAGATGTCGCAAGTGACGGAAGAACCAGTTTTCCCTGAAACTAGCGATAATATTAAGCCTGTAAAAAGGAAAAGGGGAAGGCCACCAAAAGTTAAGCGAGAAGCAGCACCCCCGGTAGCGGTTATCTGCCCCTCGTTGGAAGGCTTGGCATACGTGGCTCACGAAAAGTTTAACGAGTACTTAAAAAGCGAGAAAGAAGCGGTGGATGGGTCTAATTACAAGACAAGAACTCGTGGTACCAGAAACGGTGCCATTGAAGCCACTCTTAAAATGGCTTCCAACGAGTATGTCCATTCATACCTGTCATACAGTTCGACCTCGGAAACAGAGACTCCAAAGCCCAAAAGGGCCAAGAAACGGGAAAGGGTAACAAGGAAGCCAAGCTCCGAAGCCAGTTCCCATTCATGTTCCTTCGTATCGCTGGGATCACACAAGAAACGAACCATTGGACCTCGCTCCAAGACGGGATGTTACACCTGCCGAGTCCGTCACAAAGCGTGTCCGGAGGAACGGCCAGAGTGCAGCCAGTGTGCAAGATTGGGCCTTACCTGTGATTACAGCGATCTGAGACCAGATTATATGTCCAATACGCTGCTCCACGAGATTAAATTGCGGGAAATTAAGGATGTGACAAGGCAGCAGAAAAAGTCATTGGGGAAGAAGAAGAAGCGGGAAGTGAGCCTAGTATAGCTAGATTATCTAAGAATTTTATACCCATTGACGAGAAGTGAATAATTAATGGTCTCATCATTTCCAGAGATCTATATTTAGGTTTACCAGAAAGCGTCTCTC